TGCATTTACCACCAACCTGTCACTTGAGACTTCTGTACATAAACGCCTAAAAAGTCCCACATGTCCTCAGTTTACCGTGAAATGCTGGTGCGCAGGCATCAACAAGGAAGTCAACAGATCTGCACAACAAGTAGAGATAACTGCGAAATAACATTGAGTCGCCGAACTTCACATGGCTTTCGGGTCCTCTAGCTTAAACATATAGCCGCCATAAAGCTCGTCAGTTAAACCAAATTAGTACAGTGAGACCTGCCGCTGGTCCTAAGCTGGACAAGCGGTAACGCGAATAAGCACAAGTCAGTGTAACGGCCGCTGCACATGTGGCAGGCCAACCTCGTGATGAAAAGTGCGAACCCGGCTCCCACTGTCCCGTCATTGACCAAATGGGAAACTTCACTTTCACAAATTAGCGCAGAAGAATAAGCATGATAAACGTGGGGAAACATACTTTTCTAGCTGTTTGCTTCTTCCACTTGCGTTCTTCAGCAAAATCCGTCGCCATCCAACGTGCTTCGTCCAACAAAAAATCCCAGTGAACTCTTCCGCGATGAGGTTCCATTACCTTCGGAAGCCGAGTGGCAGACCATAGGCCTTGTTTTGCCAATTTCGAGATTTGTTGCAGGACCGAAGCTTCCCTCTTGGCTTCCTGTGCTATCTCCGTCTTCAGATCATTCCGGTCGCATGCAACATCCACGGACGTTAGTTGAGGCGAACTAGTATCCTTTGATCGTTTTTTCTTACGCGGTATGTACAAGTAATTGTATACAACGTTCTTTGGGTTATCTTTTAGGGCGTCAGAGTGTGGGATAAGATGAATCCATGGGTCTTTCTGGGTCGAAGTAAGCTGCAATCGATTTAAAGGGCCGTTTAGGTCGCCGGGAGTTTCGTTTGCTTTAACAGTCAGAACAGGTAGATTTGAGGAGGAAAGCAGGGACGACTCCAAATCTAATAATTCCAACTCCCGAATCGTTGAATTTGACGGATTGACAATCGATTGTAAAGGCTCTTTTTGCATGACCAATGAATGAGAAGTGTTTTCTAGCTTCTGGCTAGTAGTCCCAGCCTTTAGAGTACGTCGCTTCGAAACCATCTTCATTGCCTTCAAGTTGACTTGTCAGCCAGAAGGAAACTCGAAGGATCTGTAAGGAAACGATTAATTTTTTTAGAAATTTTATAACAGATTATATCATTTGGTCAAAGATGTAAACTGGTAGAAGTCGCACTGAATAACCCAGCCGGTTTGATCTGCAGTGCTACAACAGCTCAATAAAATAATCGGCGTGTTTAGGGGGCAAGAAGGCTCTATGGCGCCTCCATGCAGCAGCTTCCTCAGTTCACCAACAGCAATGCAAAATGCCAAGTTGTACGAGGCGATTACTCTACTCTCACCCAAGCCGGCACCCAGCCTTCATTTGTGGCTTCATGGCGTTACCCTAAACGCGCCAACTACACACAGATAAGTGCTCCAACTTGTCGTAGTTTGTCCTGAAGTTGTGTGGAATGGTTTGGTCCGTCTGCAGAAACACTATATGGCTGGCTTATACAAGCTTTGTGAAGGCCAATCGCCTCGGCCGATGTTGTTGATTGCCTTGGAGTAGGACTGCCGCGGCATTACAGTGCGGACGTAAAAATAGAGCAAGGTCAAAGCCGCACAAGTCCATCATGTTACAATTTCAGCTCGAGCGAACTAACAGTTAGTCGCGTAGTAACACGTACCTAAGGGGTTGTTGTGATACGCTGACAATTTAGCAAAAAAGGACAGACTTATTTTAGTGGAGAATTTGGTTCATATCTTACTCAATGGCCCAGTAGATCTGGGGATGCAAGAATGTAGGTGACTTACTTGTAAGCGAAAAGGCCGATTTAGTCTCTGTTATACGGTCTTACACGTTCGTACAGCAAAAGATACATTGGTGACGGCCTCCACTCAAGTAATCTGATTCTACACTGAATTTCTGTTTGGTTTGTAGGCAAATAACGCCTTGAAAATTAACGCAATCTGTGGCACACATATAAGACTAACTCTTATCCCAGATTTGAACCATACACATTGACAGTTATTTCAATAGGATATGACGAAAGTTGTGAGTGCGGTTCCGAAGAGCCCACATGCGCAAACATCCGAACACTAAAAATCGCGATAAAGGTAAGCGCAACGGTGCCTCCAGGGATCACAGATGGGATGAACCTGACCACTGATAGAAACTGCTTAGCTTGTGGGGAAGAAAGGATATAAATAGTTTAGTTGCGAGCGCCAACAGGTAGCAACTAGCCAGGGCATATCCATCATAATGCCTTTGTCCGGTATGATGATAAAATCAGTAAAAGAAGAAAGCGGATAGATGCTAGGAACGAAATACTACTAAAAGGTTACCAGGAAACCTAGCTCCAGGTCCGTCAAAAGTCGAAGAATATTATGATATCAATAAAGGTTTGCATTATTATTTAACCTTCCTCCGGATGAGCACAATTCGTTGAAACCGATGTTCTTTTGTAAAATATGTGACCAGTCAAAATTTGAACAAATCATGACCTGGGTCAAAACAGCCGTGCTTTAAGAAAACGGCGCGAAAGCGTACCCTCCAGGCCCGAATATATTTGTGCGCTTGCTTTGCTGGATGCAGCTACATGGCACACAATCATCCAAATTTTTTTATTGCTATGAAAGAAATCTTTGTTCCAACCCAACTTTAGGAATCCATTTATCCACTTAGCTGTCCAATCGCAACGTGAGCTGCATCGAGTTAGTGGGCGGATCATAACCTTCGCTGTGACCAATCTCCCCAGTTCGAGCTTACTATAGCCACTAACATCCGCGGAAGAGAGTCCTAGGGCACTCTAGCTCTCGCTTTCTACTTTGAATCAAATGCCTTTATTTTTGACTGAACATACAACATAAAAACATCCCGCACCTCATTGCGGGCGAGGGAGATGTGATCACCAATCCTATTGTAGAAGGCGCGGCGAACAAAGAAAAAATGACTCAAACAAACGCAGGAAATGTGTCTAAAATTAATTTTTAAACTGTCGACTTATATTGCCTCTTGGACTTATTCTTTACAACATACACACAGTTCACATTTAAAGGGATGCAATTCATCCTCAAACACAAGGTGAACTCAGCAAGCTATGTAACCTGTACCAACGCGGTCTTACCAAAACTGACTCGCGAGTGCCAGAACTTCACACTTTCAAATCCAACTGCGACTACCCGTTAAGCAGTTAAATTTCTGCCTATGAAAATCTGAATGCATGCAAAAACGGTCGCTAATGACTATGCCTGTGGGGTTACCAGAGAGGTGACAAGAAATTAATGTAGTCTCAGAGAGACCTTGATGTTATGGGAAATGAAAATATCCATGGTCCAACTACGCATGATAAGATGTTAGCACTGCTGATGGGATTCAAGGTTACGGCTTTTTGGCAGGTGATCAGGCTCCTTAGCCACTCGGCCAGGCCTGCAAAGCTGGAGACCGGAAAAATAGTGTCCATTATACAGTAAATCACTCCAAGCACTCCAAAGACCCGACGACTGGAAGGAACGCAAATGCAATAGAGACATTTAAGTCAGTCGAAGTCATTTTATTAAGGGAATGAGGCTTTCGCCCTTGAGCTCCCTATTCATATGGATAAACAGAAATAAAATCATCAATTACATCAGCAAATGCGGAAATTCAAAAGTTAGCTGTAATTGTGAGCCAGGCGCAAACTGCCGCCGCCAAAACAACCATGATTATATGCACAATAATTTCCCAACAAATGAGCATCTAGTCTACATTTGAAGGTTTCGGCAGTTTCGGAAAGAACCACCGCACCAGGGAGTCCGTTCCATGCCTCAAGGACCCGGTGAGAGAAGGCGTTCCGTCGGACGTCCGAATGAGCCAGCTTCCTCTGCAGTTTGAAGGGAAGATCACGCAGACGGTCAGTTCCGGCCAATTTGAAGAATTCGTCAAAGTCTAGGGCGCACTCACGGCCTCTGACAATCCTGTAGTTTTGAGTGAGATCACCCCGCATTTGCCTGTAATTGGAGTCCGTTGAAAAGAAAGCTGTACGAAGGAGGCCCGGTTTCCGGTCGAGCAATTTGGGCTCACATAGACGAAGTACAATATCGCCTCTGGTTTGGTTTCAATGCCGTTGGACTGACGGAGGCATGGAAGGTATTCTTCTCTCACGTTGCGGAGGCTTACCCAATGTAAATTAACATTATTCTGGAAGAAGCTGACAGTACTGTAAGTTAGTTGTCTTACATAAACTTCTCGTAACCCAAACCGCCTTTGTTTTCCTAATGCTTTCGGACTGCAGCGTAATTGTGGGTTTGCCGTCTGCCTTTGTTTTTTCATGAAAGCTTCCGAGTCCTGCCTGTGTGCAAGTAATTTTCTATTACAAGCCGCGTACACGATTAGGCAGTTCCGAATTCACGTAGCCAACCAGAACATAATCGGGTGATTACACGAAGGATGCCGCACATTTGAAAGGCAGACCACAAACCTCAACAGTGGCAAACACATTGAAGCATTAATGTCATGGCAAAGGTAACACTGGCAGCTATAGTACACTACGGGATCATGACTGTCGCCTGGCAGCCGTAGTAAGGGCGTGCACGCTGGTTAATGCCAATGTTAACCGCAAAGGATAAGGCGAAACGTTCAGGTAGCGATTAAGTTAACCATAACGTTGTCTGTCGAATACAAGAAAGATGCCGTTGATTTTGAAAAAAACACTATAAACGTTGCCGGTAGCCAAAACGACGAAGTATTAATGTCATGGTAAAGCAACACTAAACTAGGGGATCATGACTGTCGCCTGTCAGCCGTCGTAAAGTAGTGCATGCGGGTTAATTCCAATGCCATAGTGAAGGTAATATCTTCGCCGATACAAGCGAAAATGCGAGTTCCAGGAACTAGTTGATCAGAAGAAGAAGCGATCGCTGGAACAAGGGCTTTATTCGCTGGACGTTTTGGATTCTCACGTGAATCCCCCCTTTTCTGCCACTGTCTCTGATGATGGATTCATTCGATAATCCGAAACGTCAGGCGAATAAAGCCCTTGTTCCAGCGATCGCTTCCTCTTCTGATCAACTAGTTCCTGGAACTCGCATCTTCGCTTGTATCGGCAATTTGTTTGGGCGCGACGCGCTCCGATCGGCCCGACGATGGGAAACTTTCGTCCTTCGGGAGGCCTCTACTTATGCGCAGATCCGGTTTCTGCACAGGTTTCTCGATAACAACGTGTTGCCGAAATGCGTTTCATACAAACCACCGGTGAATACAGAGCTAGCTAGACGCGCAGTATTTCAGCACGGAAGACATATGATCCGCGTGCTCCTTCAGGATTGCCATGCGAGGCTTCGCAAATACCGTCAGAGAATTGACCAAAAGAAGGCCAGATGCTGCGAGTTCGTGGGCGAGAACGGCACAAACCTTCTTCAACAGAAGGTGACCGAACGAGCCCGTTTGCAGAGAGCGACACGAGATGCAGCGCTGGGGAACAAATTCCACAAACTGCCTGATCCAACGTCATCCAGAGGCGGCACACTGGTACACAACCTGTCGTCAAAGGAACTGACGAAGGAGCAAGTACAGGTTTTACGACACGAGGCCTCATACAACACAGCTGTCGCCAAACCTGTCAACATGATTGCAGCAGTGGAATCGGTCATTAATCAGACGGAAGCTGCGGAGGAGACAAGGAACCTTATCCGACACCAATTGTCGTCCCTCCTTATGACTCACAAGCCGCGCGAAATACTCCCGAAGGTCGAACGCGATGCACTAAGAGAACTCAAGGCCGACAAGGACATCGTCATCGAGCCCGCGAACAAGGGGCATTCTACCGTCGTACTGGACAGAACAGGCTACCTTCAGACGGCCAGAAACTTACTGGAGGATCGCCAGTTTTATGTCCCCTGTGAAACCAACCCCGTAAAGACGCTGACACGCGAAATTAACGCGACACTGTTGGCACTGAAGATCTTGGGTGCAATAACGTCGACCGACCGACGCATGGCGAGAGCCCAAGAAACGGCCTTGGCCCGATTCTGTGGTCTCCCCAAGGTGCACAAGGAGGGCGTTCCTCTCCGGCCCATTGTACCGTTTAAAGGCACTTCAACCTACGGACTGACAAAATGGCTGTTTCGGCGCCTCAAATTTCTGACCGCTGATTCAGACACCACCGTCTATTCGTCAACACAATTCTTGGAGAAGCTTAAAGGAGTAAGTCTCTTGTCAAATGAAGTCATGGTATCTTTTGATGTCACGTCCCTCTTTACTTCTATCCCCCAGGATCTGGCAATGGAGACCGTCGAGCTACTCCTACGAAGCAAATACCATGAAACTGAAAATCGTATCGGACATGCCCTAGTTTTCAGCTCATAAAGTTCTGTCTCAGGACGTACTTCATGTTTGACGGAACAATCTACGAGCAAGTGAAGGGAACACCAATGGGCTCGCCGATCCCGGGATTAATCGCCGAGGCGGTTCTACAGCGGTTTGAGTCGCTGGTCTTCCAACACCACAGACCGAAATTTTGGCAAGGTATGTGAATGATACCTTCGTCGCCATCGAACTGGATCGGGTGCTAGAATTCAAAGAACATCTTAACGCCGTCTTCCCGGACATTTAATTTATAATGGAGAAGGAAGAAGACAACCAGCTGGCCTTCCTGGATGTCCTCGTCTGTCGCAAAGATTGTGGTGGCCTAAAGACCAAAGTGTTCAGGAAAGCGACGAACACGACTCAAATACTGAACTTTAACAGTAACCAACCAAATCAGCCACAAACGCAGTTGCGTAAGAACGCTATATCGGCGTGTTGAGACGCACTGCAGTGAACTGGAAAACAAGTTTGCCGAATCCCAATATCTTCGACGGGTTTTCAGAGAAAATGGTTACCCGCGCAACTTCGTCAACTGGTGTATGCGCAAACGAGACAAGAGACAGAACCGTGCCGACCCCAAATTCTGGCGAGCGATCCCGTACATCAAGAACGTCTCCGAGGCCGTCAGCCGCCTTCTTGCACCACTTGGGGTTGGAGTTGCACACAGACCGGAGGCCACCATTAGGCGTCAGGTGATGAGACTAAAAGACCCACTGCCACGGCAAGAAACATCTGGAGTTGTTTACCGGACTTGGTGCAGTTGCGGACAAAGCAACTACGTCGGAGAAACTGGAAGACTGCTCCGAACGCGAATTGCCGAACACGAAGCAGCGGTACGGAGAAATGACGCCAACTCTCAGGTCGCGGCTCATTCGACGAGACCCGGCCACACATTTAAGTTCGATGAGGCTGAAATTCTCGCAAGAGGGGATAATCGTGTGAGCCGCGAGTTGCTTGAGTCATGGTTCACGGGACCTCAGTCTATCAGCGAGTGCAAAGACATCCCCACTCCCTATTCCCTGCTGAGGCGCAGACTGGCCAAGATAATTGACCACTCAGGAAGCGCGCAAGCGGGTGAGCCAGATGGCCGAGCAATCATCACGCCAGCATTTAACACAGGTGATGACATTTCGGCAATTAACAACTTGCATGCCGGCCATCAAGCAATTGGCGCACCAGCGAGCAGCCATCCTTGATGAAGGGGAGCGCGGTTAATTGTCATAGGTATGCGGTAGCATAGCGACTGCATCCTATAAATACTGCGATTTCCTGTGCACGAGTCACCCTTTTCTGCCACTGTCTCTAATGATGGATTCAAGTGAGAATCCGAAACGTCAGGCGAATAAAGCCCTTGTTCCAGCGATCGCTTCTTCGTCTGGTAATACCTTCGTTTGAAGCTAAAATTGACGCAACACTGCGTAGGATAAGTAATGCAAACTCGAAAAACAACGTCCTCTATTAAGAAGCTTGGTCGCGGTGTCGCCGTTCAACTACCTGTGCCAAGCGCATGATGGGAACGAAAATCCACCAATTATTGTCAAACTAATTTCGTCGATAGATGTGGACTTTATTTTATAAATAAGTTAAATAAATAAATTTTGTATTTAATGCCAGTTTACAGGCATTGTCAAGGGAAGCGATTAAACACAAATCCGACCAGCAGTGAAAAAAAAACTCCTGAGCAAAAGGGATACAAATATAGCTGATGGTGGGTTTATGGTTTGGAGGGCTCAGGAGAAAAAACTGCCGGCGGTGGTAGAATATCGACCGTCAAGAAGGGGGGGAGGGGGTTTCACGGCATCGGAGATTATCGGATGTCAGTTCCTTTCATGAAGTTGGGGATAGTCAAAGTAGAGTCGACGAGGAACAGCTGGTGAGACCGGCCATAGTGTTTAGAGACCACAAACGTCATCGCTACGGTAGAGTCGATCAGTGGATTCAGCACCCAAAATTTGTGGGAGCTTTTCTGAATGCAAAAATCGAGTAATAGTTCTCTTAAATAAAGGATAATTTTGCAGAGTTTTCACACTCTTTGG